AAACTTTGTATTTTTATATTCTTTAATGCTATCATAAATATATGATAAAAAAGTGATTTTCTGTTTTGGAGCTCTGACTTAATTCACCCAAAAGAAACCTTTATATATATATATATATATATATATATATATATATATATATATATATATATATATATAATATATATATATATATATCAACTTTGAAAAACATCAGTTCTGATCTGATCACCAAGTTAACCAAAACCAAGCCTGGTCAGTACCTAGATGGGTAACCCCTTGGGAATATAAGATGTTGTAAGCTTGGATATGTAGGTGATGTAATGGATAATGGCTCAAAATTAGAAATCAGAGAGCTGAGTTCCAATTCTAGTCAAGTTTGTTATCTTAACTTGCATGCAAATGTCATTGGAAAGGATATGAATCCACTTTTTCTACCCTTAGCTATGGATTAATTAGTAGGACTTGTATCAGTAAACCATTATTATCCCCCCAAAATTCTTACAATCTAAAAATATTTTCTGGCTTTAAATAACCTGAAAAAAGTTAGTAAGCCATGAAATACAAACCAATCAATCATATAAATTACTCTGTACTCATATTCAACCAAACTTTCTCTTCTTGTTACTGAATTTTTGTGAACTGTCTTTGTGATTCTGTGGGGTCTGCAGATTCAAAGTAGCACCAACAAAATAATTTTTACCTGGAAACATCCCAATAATCGTTTCTTTTTAGAAGATCACTAGCCTTCACTGTGAACAGTTGGGTGGTTACTTATGCTTTTCTTTCTTTTCTAAAAATATTTTTTTACCTCTCTTCTCCATGGTAGATATAACTTGCTTTGCCTGCATGATGTTAGAAAGTGAATGCTGTATTCTTAAACTAGTTATATTGCATTCTAATTTCAATTAGTGAAATTAGAAACCTAGGTGACAGGTTTAAGAATGCATTTTCAGGAATCTGAAGTTACACAATTAAAAGAAAAAACTGATTCAGTGTAATAATGAAAGGCACATACTTGAAATGGTTTCTGCTTCTTGCTTTAATCTTCAAACAATCAAACAGATGATGTGGCATTTGCTTGTGAGTGCCAAATTGAATAATACACCATAAGCAAGCAATTTTAAGAGTTTTACCAAATCATATTATTCAGATCAAAAGAAAATGTGTTTATTTGAAATTTCTGTCAATCTAAATTCCTTGGGGAAATTATTGTAATTTTTCTAAATACATTTGCTAATCAAGGAACATAGGTAATGGTAGGGAATCAACACCTGCAAGGCAAATGTACCATACCTAATAGACAGACTTTTAAAAATGTCTCTGAACTCTTCTACCAAGAAGATTTTATTTGCAAAATGTCTTATTTCTGATTATTAGCTTCAATTTGATAACTTGGTTTAGTAATTTTGATTAGTACTTGAAAATATATAACTGAGAGTAAAAGTATAAAATAATCATTAAATATATCAGAACATTTTTATTGTTGTTAAAAATATGTGACAGATAAATAAATAAAAAAAAATCACTACTGAACCAATAGTTAAAAAAAGTAAACAAAAGAAAATAACATTATGATTTGAAATGCTTTTCCTAAAAATTTGAAAATATGTCCTTATCTGCCACCCAACTCAACTTCTGGAGAACTTGTCAATGGCAAGATGATAAGCAGAGGCCCAAAACAATGCTTCAAGGATCAATTGAAAACACCCCCGACACAGGCCAACATCGACCCAGAGATCTGGGAAATTTTTGCTGCAAATCAGCCTTTCCGGTATAGGACCATTTGAGAGGGAACCAAGACTTTTGAGTCCAACTGTCAAGATGAAGAGGATCCGTGATGTGCACTCAGGTGGGCCCAACTTGCCCAGCCACATCCACCACCCATACTCCTCTGTGACTCCAACTCACAAATCTTCAGGAGTAGGCTGGGCCTTCAAAACCATCTCTGCCACCACCACCAGAGGGGAGAAAGGGAATAAAGATTGATTCCTATCTTTGAATGGAGAAATATAATATCTTTGAGAATAGTCATTAACATTGCAAATTTTATTTAGAAACCTGAACCACATCTTCTTGTTGATGTTGTTCTCAGATTTCATCAAGTCCATTCTTCTGCCCTTGTTTGGTGCTCAATCAATAAGAAAAGAAGATACTTATTGTTCCAGGAAAATGTCAACTGGGGTGGGGTGGGGTGGCCATAACTATACCAAGTAGATCAGTCTATTTCAGCCATACCAGGTACACAGATGTAACCTGTGTATTCAGATACATTCGGGAGTTCATCCAACACCTTCTTTGCTAAGCAGTTAAAAATACTTGAAATCCACACTTATCTGACTTCTTTGACTCTGGCCAAGCTTAACATTAGCAGCAGCTCAAAAGAAAGGTTTCAACTGTGTGGACAAAATTTTGAATTGAAGGGAGAAGCTCATAATGTAATATTGAGTGTTCTTAAGTGACGTTTGGCATGTTTCATTAAAGAGAAATGACTGAAAATTTTAAACTGAATAATACGTTGTTTATATTCATTTCTTTCTTAAATAAAGCTAAACTTATCAAGACACAATATCTAATGCATAATACAAAGCATTACTAGCAGAGAAAATAAATATGGAAGATTCTCTACCATTCTTTCTTTCTATCTCTCTATCATAGATGAAAGTAGGTGTAATTATCTCTACTGATTTCTTTTCCTTTTCAATAACATCAATGTTTGCATGACATATGTAAGTGATAGTTTTATGTGATACAATGTCTGGATTTATGCTTTAAAACTTGTTTTCCAGTGAATATAAACTTGCATTAGACCTTGGAATTGCTTTTTATATGAATGCTTTCTGCTTATCCTGCATTAACCTAAAATTTCAACATATTTCAAAGCAGACACTATTTTCAATTTTAAACATTTTCAAAATATGATGAAGTTTACAAACATTTTATTTAGAATATTATATTGAAATTCCATTAAAGGTGAAGTTATTTTCGTAAGTTATGGAGAAGTTATCTTATTATAAAATGTTTTTTTTAGATGTGTTCAGTTCCAACTAAAAAAAATCAAATTTTAGGTTGTTAGATTTATAGTGAAAGTAACTGTCTTTAAAAGTGTGATGAAATGAATTTTTATAGAATGACTTATAATGGTTTTTGCATGCAGTAAAGAGCACTTGTGTTGCAATATTATAGAAACTATCATGCTTATTGGCTACTGTGGCATGTGGGGGCTTCCATACTTTGCTCAATTCAGCAGTAGCAGCAACAGAAGTAATCAGCAGGATGCAACCAGAAAACCCAGAACTCATAAAAGTGCTGACCAAGCCCTATTTGGCCTATTTTCAACTTTTCCTTTTCAGTGGTCACTACATTCAGCTCAAAGAGCTACTCCCAACCCTTGCTGCAGAAGGCACATGGCCTGTCTTGGCTGCTTGACTTAGATTTCTTGTTCCTCATGAGAACACCTACCCGAAGGACTACGCACAAGACTTGTTGCAGAAGACTTGTACCAGTCCTAGCATTTTGAGACTCAGATTTCTTATTCCATGTGGGAACAAGTGGAGAAATCTTTCTCAAGGAAATATCTACTCAAGAGAAGAACTTTGTTAACTGAGAAACCCAACTCCTTTTCCCACAAAATACCACTATTTTGCACTCACTCTTTCAACCACAAATAAAAGCAGTTAAACAGTTATTTTGAGTCTTTAGTTTTATTCATTCTCACTGCCAAGCACACACATACGCACAATCACATGTAACTGGGAAAAAATCCAACAATATGTAAATTATGTACCCTAATGTGACAATTCAAGAAGATTTTATTGATTATAAGCAGAAAGCTTATTTTCTTGTTAATCTTACCTGAGAAAGAATGTTGTAAAGAGATTAACATGTATATGCTAATGATTTGAAGGATACTGAAAGCTCTTGAGTTAAAGAGGTTTGTCCTTACTTATTGTGGAAAGGAATATTTTTTCTCTATGTTACATAAAAAGAAAGCAATATTCAGATTTTAGCATTGTTCTTCTGATGCAGTCAGTCAGTTATGTTTCACACATGATACACACTTAGGTGATCATGTATCTTTCAATACATGACTAACGGGGAAGATTTTTTTCCACAGTAGGTGCCATTTCTTTCTGCAGTAGACCAGTTACCATCCAGGGCTATAGAACCCGGTCTGTCCTCATTTACTCATAGCTGGAGGGAGAAAAAGAGGATTCATACCATTCCCAAGAGTATTAGCACATAAGTGAATGTAATGGATTCAACTGGAATTCAAACTCAGCTCTCTGATTCCTCAATTCTAGCCACTATCTATTATTCCACTATAGGAAAATGGCAGAAAAATGCTGAACTTATAAAATGAGATTTTAATCAGACATAATTTCTTAGTTGAAAAAAAGACTACAGTTACAAAAAATATTCTATTATTTTTTTCTATCTTGTAAACAAAATTATTGAAAATTACAAAAATTAATTAATGTTCTGATTTAACTCAATTATTTTCAAAGTGTAATGATTAAAAGGAAGTATATTACTAATATTTACATGCCAACTTTTGTTACTTGTTTATGTCATCCTTTATATTCAAGAATTAGGTATTTCAGGATGTACAGCATTGTTCCTCTATTAAGAGTGATGGAAGAATCATAAAATGAAAGTTTCTCCAAAGCAAAAGCATGAGTTTTATTCAGATATTGATGAATCAAAGCTGCTTTAGTAGCTAAGTCATCAATAGTTACAGAACTAAAGAAAATTTGATTTTCTTTGGGATGAAGTGCTAACCAAGATTGTGCAGGATTTATTAAATGAATATACAGGAATTTTTTATGACTTGAGATAAACAAGTCTCAGTTAGTCAACCATGAAGAGTGAATTTTAGCTACTGACTGTTTTTTTTTTTTTTTTTTTTTTTTTTTTTTTGTTTTTTACTCGTGTGTTATTATTATATATGGAGTTGTAATAAAATTTGAATTTGTTGAACAATGTTACATTTATTTAAAAGTGAACTAATTACATTACAGAAGCACCTGAGACTGATTTTGCAGCAACTCCACCAGGCTCAGGAAAGTCAACAACAAAGAAAGTCATACCTCAAGAATCAGAATCTAGTTCTGAGTGCGTATACCATAATATTTTCATTGATATATAAATGTGTCAAGCAACTCCAAATTCAGTGATATTCATGAAAAATAAAAGCATTAGTAAATTTTGTTTAATGAGCAATCAGTTACCAAATTTAATGTTTATTAGTACTTTTAACATTGGTAGAGAATTAGACCTTTTTTCACTTAAAATATTTAGAAAAACAGTCATATGATCCAGCACTATATATATATATATATATATATATATATATATATGTGTGTGTGTGTTTGTGTGTGTGTGTGTATAATGTAAATGTTTCTCTAAATTTGTCTATTTCTTTATTAAAAGTTGGCTCACAGAAGCAATTTTTAGTCTGAGTGAAGAAAGAATTAGATTTAAATTTTCAAACCATTTTAGACTTTGAAGTTATCCATCTTTTCTATCTTATGTTTAGAAAATTTAATTTTGGTGCCAGTTTAACTCCCACTCTTAGTTTTAGTACAGACATTTATCATTCAGGTTTTTGCAATATCCAAATTTAGCACATACGTTGCCTACTATTATTCATTTTTCCCCTTTTTTTAACTTTTCAAACACTGATGAATTAATTGATTCATAGAATTGCATGTTTTCTTAAATCTATTGTATTTACATTGATAGTATTATAACTTTCTGAATAATATTGTTTTGTATAATTTGAGTTGTTTTTTTCAAATCCAAAAGTAAATTTGTGAGTTAGAATGAAGATAAAGTAATGCCAGTATTTTTTCTTTTTCAGTCTAATATTTTATTTTTCTTAAAGAAAAATACTTTCAAGAAATTGATTTTCTTTTAATATAAATAGTGTAGTATTAGTGAATTTCGAGAAATAATTAAAGCATTGGTTTCTTTTGACATGAATATTATGAAGTTAGTAGAAATAATTAAAGTAATGGGATTAAGATTGGTGTGCAAGTATAGGAAATAAGGATTTAGATAGCATGCAATGCATTATCACCTGGAGTTATTTGAAACAAATACACCTTATAATGTTATCTACTTGACCAATGTTTCAGGCATTAGTAACATCAGTGTTTAAAATTGGAAATAATACAGTCTCCTGAAATGCAAAGAAATGACAAGAACCAATATATATCTGTAGCGTCAGTGTTACCAATATTTAACTTTGGCTAGGAAAGATGGGATTAAGGACAATGTGTGGATGCAATGCAATTTATATTTGATGTAAATAGCACATAGTATAAAATACAAAACTGAATGTAATGATTTCAAAACATAACAATTGAATTTATTAAGTATTTGATGTACATGCATGTGAACTGAAAAGTTAGACAGAGTTGTGTCTCTTAGACTAGGTAATATTTGTACCTAAGCTCATAAAGTGAAAGTAATTATTAAACTGTAGTTTAGGAGAATAAAGTTCCTTTAGCATGTTTGGAATTGTGAGTTGTGAAGTTGGTGAAAGTTCAGAAGAGATTTCAGAGTTCGTACTTGCGTGAATGTTGGTAATGTTCTTTAACATCTGACTACATTAATCAAGATGGGAGTTCTTGAAGATTAAATCTTGGCAGCAAGGAGAAAGATGAATGAAAAGAAACACACAGGAGCTTACATTTGTTTTGTTTTTATAAGATCGTGTTTCACGTGGGAGGCTCAGAGCATATTGAGCGGGAAAACAGATTTGTTGCGTGCAGGCGGTTTGATTGGTCAGAACTGACCAATCAGCGAGCTAGGTTCGAGGAGATTGACCAATGAATGCTTGTTATATATTTTGTAAGATGGTGGTGGTTAAAATCACAACAGGAATAGTGCATTTCCTAGCAGGGGTTAACTGGCTGTTGTGGAAGATTCCACATATCTACAAACAAATGATAGTGTATTAACAATAAAGGTATACAAGTGACAATGACAAAGATGTGTGTATTAAATAAATGTGAAAACCTTTTTGGTCTAAAGTATGTGTAGTGAGTGAATGTGTGTACGTATGTGTGTGTGTATTGTTTATGCATTTCCTAAAGGGAACACATTCTCTGGGAAAGATTTACATGTCAATAAATAAGCAGATAAGGTAAGAAGAGAGTGAAAAAAAATATTGTAGAGTATTTATAGTCTGGATAGCGTCCTTTTAGTATCTGTTTCAAAAATTAGGAGCGACTAATTTGGCACCAGTTAGAATTAAATACCATATATACTTGTCATTTAATCCTTAACCTGAATTTAGTTTTTAAACCATTCAAGTAACAACCCATGTCTATGAATGTGGTGAGCCAATATATGGAATTTTCCAATTTATCATTATTTCTATTCACCCAGTCTCAATTCATGATTTAGCAGGTGTACTTAGCAACTTTTTATTCCAAATCTGTTGTCTGTGAATATTTATTGTAAACAGAGGAATTCTTATGATATTATTGTATACTTTGAAATAGTATACATACTGACTTAAAGGAAAAATTGCTATATCTCTAGTCTTTATATACATCATAAGTCAGAATAGTATAAATTTGTTTGGCATTTAATTTTCTTCTCTGAAATTTCTATATTTTGGAAGACCCTATAAACTCGGAAATCCTTTTAAAAGGCATCAAGTTCAGTGACAGTGCTTAGAGTTGCATTTTTTTTCTGGATCTTCTGTACTTGTGAAATTGAAATTCAATCATCATAGGCTGTCAGATTCTTACATTTGCTTTGTCCATTTGTGTATTGAGTGTTTTCCAACCTGAGTTTAGGTGGTTCTGCAGAGTGACAATCCTCCAAATCATATTTGTGTCTCTCTAAATGGGGCAGACTGACACACACACTTCTTGTATCATGAATCTTGATAACAGTGCAGCTATTCATCTGGGATTCTTGTCTCTCCTGAGTTCATACAGAAAGGTATAGCATGGTACTTTATCTTTATATTGGTGAATCAACTTTGGGACTGCTTGAATCAATTCCAGGTGCTGAGATTTCAAGGCTGCTTTTCATCAATTTCCCTGCTGTCTCCTATTTAAGTGCTTGCTTGAAGAATCTCCAATAAAAAAAGGTGTGTTTCTTTTCAGAATCAGAAATTATTTGAAAGCTTTCTCTGGGGGTTGCTTTGACTTTCTCAATGATTATTTTTTTTTATTGTTTTTCCAGTAGTCTAGGGCTATCAATTTTTTTTTTAGGCCCATGTCTGCACTGTTATTTGCTAGTGTAAAAAGAAAATATTGAAATTTTACATATGAATGTTATCAAATAAGCAAAGGGAAACAACTCCTGATCTCCTTTAATTGTCTAAGATAACCTTTTTTACCTTCCATCAGTTTTTATCATGTTGCTTTGGGTCAAATGATTAAAAAATTAGCATTTCATGAGCAACATCATAATATCTATGATATTTACATTTGGACCAATATCCTCATTTTTGTTGTTTTTATCCCAACATTTAAGCTGTTGTGCACTTTGGTCTTCTTGGAGTATCTGTTGACCCAGGTAACCTTCAGGGAATTGGGAGCTACCTGAAGAAGGCTAAAGAGCAGAATGTTGTCATAACAACAATTATAAAATCTTTAGTCCAAATGTAAATAAGGATAACACCTCATACTGGAAATTTAGGTTCACCTCGACATGCGACAATAGTTAGCAAGCTTTTCTTGCTAGAACCATTACCACTGTGTAATGAATTCGATCATCTTTGGGCGCCCCATACGTTCGGCCTTGTGCCACTTCTAAGTTGCACTTAGAAAATCACCATACCAGAAATTCAGACAGAAAACATCATAATATCTAAAAATTTATAAATGCTATGAGACATAAATAAATTTATAAAAGATATATTTTTAAAATTCTGATCATCCTAATTTAATGAATATGAAAATTGAAGAGTCCATCCTCTCTAAAATTTTTCATCATAATAGATTTGTAGAATGTCAGAGAATATTTTTGATTTTGGATTAGTAGAAGTAATTAATTGAGCGTTACATTTTTTTGTATGTTCAGTATCTTTTCTGCTTAGACTTATATAAATAGTATACATTGGGATGATGTTTGGTCGCTTGGTTTGATTTTGAGAAATAGGTGGGACAGATAACTTCCTCATAGTAATTGGCTAAAATAAATTATACAAAGATCAGAGTATTGTGAGATGAGATTAATGGTGAATCTAACTGTGATTAAATTGGTTATATACTATATATGACCAGGGAAATGAATGGCTTCTTTTGTACGATTGGTGTTGCTTACATTATTACCAGATCTCTTTCATTGGTTTCTGAGAACATCACAGTGACCCATGATGCTTTTACTAAGAATATCTTTGCATGTAGTTAATACTGACCTTTACCTGTTGCATGACACAAAAGAAAAGCAGCATTTCAAATGATATGGGAAAGATTGGAAAAATAACTTGCTTGGACAGCAGCAAATTAGAATGGAAACTGAGAGAGGATAACAATACTTGTAAAATAAGAGATATATATATCAATGCATGTGTACATGTGTGCTTATGTTTATGTATATGTATATACTCTTAAATGTATATGTAAACATTTGAAGAACTCAGAAGCAACAGATGGCATATTTGACATGGATGGGCAGATGGATAAAGAAATGAGCACCACAAGAACAAAGGGAGATTATAAAGGAACAAGTATTACTGAAAGCACCGAAAATGGATGATGTGGAGAGCCATGATCATCCACATCTTAAAATTAGATAGTATATAGAGATATGTATGATCATTTTCATTTCTGTGTATATGAATATGGAAAGATGTGTAAATTTACCCATGCCACTACACACAAGCATATATGAGTAAGTGTGTGGGCACATTGTTTGACATAGAATATGGAGTGAATGTTTTGGTAGTGCGAAAATGTTACCCATAATACTCTTTTCTGAGAGTTTAACATGCAATGTGTGTACATTCATGTCTCCCTCCCTCCCTCATATATATTGCTAAAAAAAGCAACTGGAGGATAACACTTTAAAGGCAAACAGTCTTTGTAAGTAAAGTGCTTAATATTAATAGAGCAGTAATAGTAAAAAAGTAAAATGCAAACTTACAAAATTATATTATTTAGGGGACATTATATAAAATAACATTTGATGTCAACTTATTTAAAAGTTGTTCTTTTTAAGGACATTATTGAACAATATAATGTATTCTGAAATTGTTTGGTTTTGTATCTATCTATAAAAGGCAGGATTTGTGTGTGTGTGTGTGTGTGTGTAACAAATGCACAGCCGCAATTTTCAATGGATTTGCACCAAAATTTACATGCACATGTTCCAAGTTAGCAGGAAGACCAAGACCGACTTTGCATTTCCCAACTCCCATCAATAGTGGAAATAATCAACTTTTTCATGCTTCTACGGCAGTTTTCATGTAGTTTGCGGCCATTTTCTACTGGCCAGAGTGAGAGCCTATAGCTGGCTGCCATGAATAGGCAGGAAGATTCTATTGGTTAGCATGAGAGCCAACAGCTGACTGACACGAGTGTTAACTAGCATGCTAGAATGCAAAAAAAATTCAATAGCTGCATTCGTTACAAGTGGGAAAAATTTAAATCTGCATGGCACTTTACTCCAATTGGCTCATTCGCTTGCTTAAACTCAATGTTAATTCTGATTCCGCAGAACTGGGTTGGGTGTGAAAAAGTATTTGTTGTTAACATTCTTTTTTCATTCAGTTTTTCCAGTTACAAGTCCTTTTTTAAAGCTGATCATTTTGTGTTCATTTTGTTTAGTTCTTTTTTCGTAACAGATTTAATGTTTAGTATAGAGCTTAGAAAAAATTTGCAGTGTGAGATAGGCAAGAAGTAAGGCATGTAGCAACATCAGCACAGCAAAGGGCACTCCTCTAAAGGCAAGGAAGGGCAAAAATATTTTAAGTCAAGTGATAGCGATTGCTGTATGAGTTGTACGATTTTTGAATCAAGCATGGGCAACGCCGGGCATGCTGCTAGTATTAGATAATTTTTATATAATCAAAATTTTTACATCAATCTAAAGATGGCAACAAATATTAACATTTTTAATTTTATTTGTTTAATATATATATTTGGTGTACTCATCATGTGTAATGATTAGCAAGCAGTTCCTACTGTAGTAAGTATGACTATCATTAGTGCCTTATACATAAGCTAAGCTTAGTAAATGCTTGGATAATTGGAACAGTTTTTCTTTTTTAAAGACATAAATTAAAGTGTATCATGTTAAAGCAGTAATTTTATGCTGGACAGAACCAGTAGATATATGTGCTTAAAATTATAAAAACAAAAGAGGAATTTAATTCGCCATTCAGACTGCTATTCAGAGCATTGTATCTATTGTAGGTTTATAAAACCAGTAGATTGAAATTCAGTTTCAAAAAGAGTGTGAAATTTGCATTCATTATTAATTTAACAATGGTTAGATCAAAATATAAAAAGTAGCACAAGATGCGATAAATAATATGAAAAAATTCCTCATTGTTTCTGGATCATGATATTAAGTGCTCTCATTTTACCAACATAGAGAAATGTCCCTGCCCTACTCCATCAGCATGGTCATTGCTCATCTCCATGAGTGTGGCTCAATGCACTTTCTTGGCCTCATGTTTGCAACTGACTTGAAGTAGAACAACTACATTGAATCAATAGCTGCATCTACCACAAGGAAAGTTGTTTCACTGTGTCATGCCAGAAAGTTTTTCTCTTCAGAGTCCATCTTCCACATCTACAAATCTACTATTCGTCAGTACATTGAATGCTGTTGCCATATCTGGTCTGGTGCCGCTACCATTCATCTCAAGGTTCTTGACAAAATCCAAAGAAGAATCTGTAATGTAATCAGTCCTGAATTAGCTTCTTGACTTCAGATACTCTCTCACAGATGTGATGTGGCTTCACTCTGTCTTTTCTACAAATATTTTCATGGCCACTGCTCTAATGAGCTTTTTTCCCTGGTGTCCCGACTACATGAATTGAAGCATACTACTAGATCCGTATCTAGGTCCCACCCATTTACTGTTGAAATAGTTAAATGTAACTGCCACTATTCCAACAGTTTCTTTATACTTCCTGACATTGGAACTCTCTTCCTTTCACTTGCTCCCTTGATAACGACAATCTTCAAAAATTTAAATGCAATGTCAATCACCATCTTCTGTTGCCTTCTGTTTTTTTTTTTCCTCAATCCCCCTACACCCATTCTTTTCTCTCACTTTCATTCTCCATAAACCCCTGCGTGCTAGTGGCACTTGTGTCTTGCTTGGGCTGAAATGCTTGAAAAAAGAAAAAAAATTCACATTAAAAATGTTTTATACTTTATTTCAGAGGAGACACATATTCTGTTGGTTTTCGCTCAAGACCTCGCATTTTACGAACGCCAGTTCTTCATGAAAATTCTAACAGGTCCCCACCTACTCCTAAGTTCTCAGAATCAGGCCCTCGACCAAGTTCAGCAGGAAAATCCTGTAAGTTTTTGCCTCTTTTTTTAGGTTTTAAAATTACCTGTTTTAAGTTGAGATTTGGTTTAATTTATATAAATAATGGGTTTTATTTTTTATTAATTTTTTATTGACTTTATTATTTATTTTTTTACATTTTCTTAATAATAATAATATATCCCATGCAAGGCAATAAAGCCACTAAATGCAGGGAGTTAATTTAATAATTTTTCTGACATCAGGTGAGGTGCATATAACAGAAATATTTTGTTTTTTATTGTAAAAAAAATAAATATTTAAAAGAATATTAATAGAAACATGTGCATTATTGTGATGAATCAAAGTTTGAAGTGTTTGGTTTATCATTGACTATATATGACAAAATGTTACAAAAGTACAACAGAAAATAGTAGAGGTTCTTTGATCAGATACAGAATTAATTTTGGTTGTTTCTATTTTCAAGATTGACAGTATCATGAATGCTAAAAGTTGCAATCTAATTCTCATTTTCTGCGCTAATTTTTCTAGAAAGTGTCTGGAACTACATTATGTTTTATTATGATAATGATCATAAACACTGCTAATGTTGGGAAATTCTATTTGAACAGAAAAGCAGCTCACAGAACCTTGACAGTAATCAACTAGTCTCCACCTAAATGTTGTAGACATTTAGGATCACCTCATTCGATAAAGGAACTAAATTCTAAGCCTCTTTGCTTCGCAGTTACTTATGAAAAATTCAAGAAACCTTTCTTTGGAGGCTTCAAATTGTTGTACATACTGGTAGTGAGGTTGTACTGGTCATCATCAACTTATGACCCATGTGACTTATGACTGACTTTATAACCATGACCCCGAATTGGTATGTCTGGCCATCTGACCATGACTGATCTGCATCTGGTAGTGTGAATCTTTCCCAGCTTGTTGTATGACAATTTCTGCCCCAGCTCCCAGTAGCACTAGCATTCTCTCAAGTTTAGTGTTAAGGCAGCCTTGGTACAAAAACACTTTCCACTGAGTCTGTTTATGTGATTGAAATTTTTCTTCAAAAATCCCCAAGATGACTAACAAGAGAAAATTTTGTTTTGTATTGTATATAATTTGGTATGTTTTCAAATTAAAATGATTTTTGATTTTGGCACTTGTATTTTGGCTTTTGGGATGTTTAGTAAATATCAAACCAACTGTACTGTTGTATGAACTTATGACCAGATCAAATTACAACCAACTGGTTGTAATCAATCATGGCCATAAGTTAATGACACCCTGTATACTAAATATTGGTTTTAGTCTACAAATATTCTGTATTTTTATGTTTTGGTTCTGCATGTGTATATGTTAAATGTATTTTTATGTACAGACTAAGAAATAAGTATTTATTATCCTTTCTAATCTTCCTGAAATAAAATTTAAGTTGCCTAAAACTTCAAAATTTCTCTTTCTTTTCTCTCTCTCTCTCTCTCTCTATATATATATATATATATATATATATATATATATATACAAATAGTAAGAATAAAAGGTTAAAATATAAAATAAACTGAGATCAATGCCAAAGTCAACAGAGCCTAAATATAATATTATCAATACAAAAATATGCTATTCAGTTTCATGTAAAAACAATTATCAGTCTCTCATATATATATATATATATATATATATATATATATATAACTGATATATATATGTGTGTGTGTATCGTTGTATATATTTGAATTAAACCTGGCTTATATACTTATATACATACACACAATATAATCTATTAATCATTCAACTGAAATATAATTCAACCGAACACAGGCTAACAGTGATTGATAACAGTTTTCAATGTCTTTCAAACAGTCATATGCAGTGTAACTATTGTTTGTGAATTCTTACTGATACATGCACATGTATTTCTAACAGTTTCACATTGATAAATACACTGACCCCACCCATATATCTATATATATATATATATATATATATATATATATATATATATATATATATATATATATATATATATATATATATATGTGTATGTATGTACGTGTGTGTGTGTAACTGGAGAGTGATGGAACTAACAACCGAAAAGATTGTTTACAAGATATATATTTAAAAATTGGCATTAAATTACCAACAGATTTGATATGCCTGTAAAACAAAACAATCAAAACAAACAAATATATATATATATATATATATATATATGTATGTATGTATGTATGTATGTATGTGTGTGTGTGTGTTTACACCAAAGGCTATAAATGGATTATCAAAGGAAAAGAGAAAAAATAAATCATCACAGCAATAATATATTTTTCCTATCTTTTTTTCCTTATTTATTGTTTCATCATTTAAGTATCAGAAATTAATGATATAGAATTGAAATTTTACCATTTCAAGCTATTTCTGATAGTTGACATCATTTCATCATTTTTATTTTTATTCTTGCAGTGGGTCCTCAAAAACATTCAGCTGATTCAGAAAACTGATAAAATGTTTCAATAATTACTTTTTTATCAGAGGCTTTTCTTACACACCACTGGAACTTTTTCTATTTAAAATGTTTATTTTTTATAATGGAAAGCCTACTGTTAATGCTTGTAGTCACAAGCAGCAATGATAACATTAACTCAACTAAACTGTATATCTCATGTACTCAATTCATTCCAAACATGATTTTTGTCCCAGTTATTAAAATAAAGTTTTAATTTGAAAATGATTGTTTTGTTTCTTTATGCATGTATTGATTTGGGTCAGAAGTTATATGTAATAATGTTAATGTGTATGCATATGTGTACATTTACATACAGAAAATGGTATATCAATGAGTTCTTCAAAAGATTATATCACTTTTAATTTTTCAATTTTCCTCTTTTAAAAACCGGCTAGAAACTGCTACAAAATGTTTTGACATTGATGGAGTTTAAAAAAGAAAATGATTTTGTCTGTTACTTTAAATAATTCTTTGTTTTAATTTTGTGGATTTTTTATATACAATAACCATATATGTTTGTGCATGATATACACTATATATATATTGTGCATAATCTATGACTGTATGCACTTAGTAGCTGTCCAATTACAAAAAATATTTATAAACCATGGTAAATTTATAAACCTACATTTATAGTATTTTTTAATTTTATTCAAAATGTTATTTTGTGTATTATTTGAAGTCAGTAGATACAAATTAAAAAAGTCCAATAAAAAAAATTTGACACTGTTCCATTAATTTTGCTGATATTATATCTTTGTCTCATGAGGCAAGTGTACATTTCTATTAACCAATATAAATATACATATGTGCACATGCATAAAGCTAAATTTTACCTTTTATCTGTTGCTCTGTAATATATGGCGAAGGAACATGGAACATTTAAGTTTATGCATGTATATTTTCTAATGTAAGTTTTCACTTCAGAATAAATTATTTCATTTTAATTAGTTTCTTCTTGACTATCATTCTTCATATTCTATGTGCCATATCCTTTCAGAACATTGGTGATCATGGCTCTCCACAACTTTCTATCTCATGTGTCCCTTAGCAGTTTTCCTCCCTTTGCTAATGCCTCTGCTCTGCCATCCATTTACACAAGCTCATCAGGTAAATGGCTCGCTGCCTTCCTTTATCTGTCTTTCTTTCAGCATGCTCCGTGAGAGTTAAGTTTTCCAAGCCCTCCTTCTTCATCATGTGTCCAAGGAATTTCAGCTGTCTTTTCCTGATTTGGAGTATAAACTTTCTTAAAATTCAAATTTTATAATCTAAGTCACATATACCAGAATGAAATGTAATACAAACATATAAGAGAACATATGCACGTCTGTAAGTTGTTTTGTATTATATGAAAAAATATGTTAGATGATATCGAGTATTATTTGAAAAAAATGTTCTATTATCTCTATCTATAAAAGGAAGGATGTATGTGTTTGTGTAACGAATGCACGGCCACAATTTTTGATGGATTTGCACCAACATTTACATGCACATGCTTCAAGTTAGCTGGAAGGTCAAGATCAACTTTGCATTTCCCAACTCCCATCGATAGTGAAAATAATCAACTTTTTCATGCTTCTACGGCAGTTTTCATGTTTTGTACTGGTCAGAGCCTATAGCTGGCTGCCGGGGAATAGACAGGAAGATTCTATTGGTTAGCCAACAGCTGACTGACACGAATGTTAACTAGCATTCTAACATGCAAAAAAAGTCGATAGCTGCATTCATCACAAGTGGGAAAAATTTAAATCTGCATACTTCAATTGGTTCAATTCACTTGCTTAAAGTCAATGTTGATTCTGATTCCACAGAACTGTGTTGGGTGTGAAAAAGTGTTTGTTGTTAACATTCTTTTTTCATTCGGTTTTTCCAGTTACGAGTCCTTTTTTAAAGCTGATCATTTTGTGTTCATTTTGTTTAGTTCTTTTTTCGTAACAGATTTAATGTTTAGTATAGAGCTTAGAAAAAAATTCGCAGTGTGAGATAGGCAAGAAGTAAGGCATATAGCAATATCAGCATGGCGAAGGGCACTCCTCTCAAGGCAAGGAAGGGCAAAAATATTTTAAGTCAAGTGATAGCGATTGCTGTATGAGTCGTACGATTTTTGAATCAAGCACAGGCAATGCCAGGCCATGCTGCTAATATGATAGATACGTATTATATGAAAAGATGTGTTATTATATGATATAGATCAGGGGTGTTCAAACCACAACTCATGAGCCACATTCAACTCTGACAATTAATATACAGCTCATGGAAATATGTTGACTGAAGTCCTTTTTTCATCACAATTAATATAAAAGGTAAATAAGAAACATTTCAATTTTCTTTATAATTGTTTACTAGGGATGAATTGAGACCCAATTGGATTAAAATGTAAATTTAATGTTAATGTGAATATAACAAAAATGTATGTTCATGTCTTGTGGCTTTCAAATATCTCAACTTTACTGCATGTCGCTCTTACATTAAGCTAGTTTGGTCACTCCTGATATAGATATATTATATGAAAAGATGTGTATATGATATAAATGTATTATATGATAAATGTTTTATTATATGATATAGATGTATTGGTATTATATGAAAAGATATGTTATTATATGATATAGATGTTTTATATTAAAACAAATGTTATTCTGTAAGTTATTGTATGAATCCTAATAATTTTCATCTGAGAGAATTTTAAATGACAGATGATTTCTATAGTGTAGATTTGAAGGATAAAATTACAAGAGAGAAATGATATTGATTGCACAATAACGGCAAAAAGACAAAAATCGGTTTAGTCAAAACTCTATTTTTGGATCTACTTATAAGACAAGTTTTGAAAGATTCATATCTGCAGCAGTATATTTCTTGATTCATTATCTAAGAATTGAGTGATTTCAACCCAAAAAATCTTTTAATCAAAATAAATAACTTAAATCATTTCATCATTTGAAGATTGTATGTTTACTGAAAAATGGAATTGCTGTCAGTTTTACGGCTGCCGAGATGTCAAATGAAATTTAATGAAAAATGCATCTTATGCAGCCAATACAAAATTGTATACTTGATTTACACACAACGGGTAAATGTTTTAGAATAGAGTTGCTTCTGTTCTTACCATTAAATAATTATTAATTATGGAAAAGAACTCTAAATACAATTCTCCAAGCTGTAGGGATACAAAAGGCAATAGTTATTTTTTTTTTTTAAAGCATTTTTGCCAAAAGCAAGGTGGGAGTGCCACTAACACACAAAGGGTTACAGAGTGTGAAAGCAAGAGTAAGAGTAAGTGTTTGAGGAAAGGATAAAGAGAGTAGACGGGAAACAAGATCAAGGCATCAGAAGATGTTGATTGACATTACATTTGAATATTTGAAGATTATAGTTATCAGAGAAGCAAGTAAGAGATGGGAAGTGGGAGATAAGAAGCTGTTGGAGTAGAAGAGATGGCTATATTTAACCATTTTGATAGTGAAAGTGTGGGACTTAGATGCCAACCTAGTAGCATGCTTAAATTTATGAAGTCTGGAAACCAGTGAAAGTAGCTTGTTGGAGCAGTTGCTATGAAAATACTTGGAGAAGAGACAGAGGGAAGACATGGTACATCTGTGAGAAAGTGACTGTAGACAAGATGCCAGATGAGGACCCATCACATTGCATATCCATCTCTGGATTTTGTCGAGGACCTTATAGATTTGAAGGATGGACTCAGGCGGGAAAAACTTTCTGGCACTACACAAGAACCAACTTTCCTTGTGGTAAATGAAGCTATAGATTCAATGTAGTTGTTCAACTTCAGGTTAGTGGACAGCGTGAGGCCAAGCAGGTGCAGATAGGTGCTCTCATGGAGTTGGGCATCAGCCATTCTGACGGGAGGCACGAAGGGTTTTCTGTGGTGGATAAATGAGAGCAGCTTCATTTTGGAGACATTGAAATTTACAAACCATTTCCTGCCCCAGTCAACCACTGATTGGAGGTCCTTTTTGAGACTAACAGCCAGGTTAGTTTTGTCAGTGATACCATATTTACTATTGATGCAGGAGTAAATAGCAGTGTCGTCTGCATAGATGTCTACTTGGGAACTGACAACATCAGGAAAATTATTAATGAAGATCACAAACAGTGTAGGACCCAGGATAGAGCCTTGGAGAACACCAGCATTTGTGTGAAAGGAAAGCTTGTTAGGACAACCTTCGTTTCATGGTTTGACAGGAATGATTGTATTAAGTTAAATAATCATCCTGTAATGCTGTATCCCTGAATCTTATGAAGAAGGCTGGCATGCCAAACCCTATCAAATGCTTTAAAGATATCTAGAGCTATGGCTCGAGCGTTTCTGTTATTGTGATATGCTTGTTAAACAAATTCAGTTATGTCTGTGAGCACATCAGCAGTAGATCAGGCAAAGCAGAAACCATATTGCTTGTCAGAGAGCAGATCATGGGATGCAAGGTGCTTAACCACTTCAGCATTCTTTGAAGACTTTACCAGAGAGTGGTAAGAGACTGATAGGATGGTAGCTAGATGGGTCAGAAAACTCTCTAGAGTTCTTAAAGTCAGGGACAATAGATGAGGACTTCCAACAGGCTGGAAAGCAAGAGTTGGTGAGGCAGTAGTTGTATACTTTGGAGAGGACAGGAGCCAGTTCAGGAGCACATTGCCTCAAGACAACAGCTGGTATCCCATCCCCACCACTAGCCTTATGGGAGTCTGATTTAGAGACAATGTCTGATAGCATCGATGGGGTTATGTGCATCTCACTTAATAGAGACTCAGTTCTAGGGGGAAAATCAGGTGTGGGTACGAGTGTTGAATTGAATGATAATTTCTGAGCAAAGCAGCTGAGAAAATCTGGACTTCAAATTGATTGAATAAAGGAGGTATTGTGGATTTCCTGTTGTTACTGCACACTCTTGCAGAGACACCCTTTCATTGAGATAAAGTCACAAGGGTCATGTGACAGCCGGTGTGTGATGTAAGAGGATAGAACAAGAGTGGGCAATT